CATCATCATCATCAGCATCATCATCAGCATCAGCATCAGCATCAGCATCAGCATCAGCATCAGCATCATCATCATCATCCTCATCCTCATCATCATCATCATCATCCTCATCCTCATCATCATCATCATCATCATCATCGTCATCATCATCATCATCATCATCATCATCACCACCACCACCACCACCATCATCATCATCATCATCATCATCATCATCATCATCATCATCATCGTCATCATCATCGACATCATTATCCCAAGAGGCCTCCAAGATGGCCCCAGAACGGCCCAAGAGACCCCCAAGGCGGCGCCAAGAGGGCCCAAAGCCGGCCAAAGAGGCCTCTAACACGCCCAAGACAGCCCCCAAGACGGCCCTGGAGCGTTCCAAGAGGGCCCCAAGTCGGCCCAGAGAGGCCCCCAAGATGGCTTTTGACGGCGTCAGACGGGCCAGGAGCCCACCAAGATGACCGAAGACGGCTCCAAGATGGCCCAAGACGGCCCAAGAAGCCTCCAAGAGGGCCTCCAGGAAGGCCCGAAGAGGTCAAAATCATTAATTAGCCCTAGGTTTTTGAAGGATTCTGGCATTTGCTTCGATTCTGTCAACCGACTGGCCGAGACTGCCAAAGAGCCCCCAAAGATCGCCCAAAGATCACCCAAGAGGCCTCCAAGATGGCCCCAGAACGGCCCAAGAGGCCCCAAGGCGGCCCCAAAAGGGCCCAAAGGCGGCCCAAAAGGGCCTCTTAGACGCCCAAGAAAGCCTCCAAGACGGCCCTGGAGCACTCCAAGAGGACCCCAGGTCGGCCCAGAGAGGCCCCCAAGACGGCTTCCGACAACGTCAGACGGGCCAGGAGCCTACCAAGACGGCCAAAGAGGCCCCCGAGAAGCCCCCCAAGGCCCTCAAGAGGTCCAAGGAGGCCCCCAAGATACCTCCAATAGGCTCCCAGGAAGCTCCCAGGAGGCCCCAAGAGTGTCCCCAGAGGCTCCCAGGACGCCCCCTCCTCCTCCTCCTCCTCCTCCTCCTCCTCCTCCTCCACCTCCTCCTCCTCCTCCTCCTCCTCCTCCTCCTCCTCCTCCTCCTCCTCCGCATCCTCCTGATCTTCCCCGCTATCCTCCCCCAATGTCTCCCGAAGGGTTTCCACAACGGTTGGGGAAACAGATGGTCCGATAGCTTGGCAAAGCTATTGCCACAACGCTCGGCCACATGGGCGATTCTAGAAGGCAGGAGGCGGCGGTGATTCGCCGTGGGCGTCTTCAATACAAAGTGCTTCACCAAGGGAGGAGGCACGCGCCAGGGGCGTGACGTGGCGGAGATCGGGTCGACGTCGTGGATGAGCCACACCTCGCCCGCGCCACCCCCTCCTCCCCCTCCTCCTCTTGCTCCTCCTGTTCCTGCTCCTGCTCCTGCTCCTCCTCTTCCTTTCTTCCTTCTCCTCCTCATCCTTCTCCTCTTCCTCGCCATCCTCCTCCTCATCCTCCCTCTCCATCACTCTTCCTGATAAATGACTCCTCCCTGTCGCACCTCCAGACGTGTTGGTAGTGCGGGTCGGGCGTCCGCCGAAAACTCCCGAGCCATGAATAACCTTGAGGCTTGAAGACTGCAACAGTTTCACGGACGGAAGGCGGGTGGTTTTCAACATGTCGCTCTCGCTTTAGCGCCGCTCACACTCGTCTTGAACATCTGCAACAGGTTCAAGAGTGGAGGACAGATGGTTTTCAAAATGTGGCTCTTGTCTTATCACCGCGAACATTCGTTTTACAAGTTCGCACCGCTTCAGGGATGAAGGGCGGTTCCTCGTGACTTCGCGCCACGCACATTCGTCTGTCGCACCAACTTGACGGATGGAGGGCGAGTCGTTTTCAAAGTGTGGCTCTCGCATTAGCGCCGCGACCACTCGTCTTGAAAATGTGCAGCAGCTTCACGGGTGGAGGGCGGTTCGTTTTCCAAAATGTGGCTCCCGTCTGCGCCGCTCCCATTCAGGATTCGTACGGTTGAAGACTTAGGAACTGCTTTATGATACGATTGAGGACTATCGGAACGCATGTTGAAGTCCCACGAACGGTGCTGTGGCACGATGTTGGAGTGTCAAGACGCAACAGTCACGCTGATCCGCGGCATTGGAGTCCCTGGAACAGTTTTTGCACGATTGGTGATTCTCAAAAGCTTGTCTTCTGATGGGCCACTTCCCAAAATGAAAACAAACTCACGTTGGGACCTACAAAAAGGGTACTGTGAGGGTTTACCGCAACATCGTCGGTGTTTGGGTTTACACTTGCATTCCTCCTCTTCTTCTTTCTATTCCTTCTCCTCTTCCCCTACCACACGACCTGGATATTTCGATCCATACCTCCCTACAACTTGCGGCTCCGAAGCTTGAAAGCGCCAAAGGCTATGGGGATGGAAGGCGGGTGGCCAAACTGTGTGGCTGTTGCCCCAACACCGCACACTCTCGCCTGAAAACTCTCCAACAGCTACGAAAATGGAGTGTGGGTGGTTCTCGAAACCTGGATCTGGCGTAATCGCCGCGCACATTCGTCCTCAAAACTTCGAACCACTACACGGACGGAGCACTGGTCGTGTTCAACATGCAACTCTCGCGATGACGCTACGCACGTTCGTCTTAGTATCAGTGAGAAGCTCCTATCCGTGACACGGAGTGAGTGCGGATGTTGCTTGAGACATCATCAGGCTCTATGGTACGAAACTGAAAATGCGGAACTCAAAATGCGCGCAACTCAAAATGGAGGGGGATTCATTTTCATACCAGATGGCTCTCGCTTGACAATTTCTTGACAGTGTCATTGAACTATAGGATCCTCAAACTTGACAGCCGCAACGATGGATGATGCGCTTCCTTTTCAAAATGGGATTCTCGCCGGAATGGCAGGCCCCACAGAGCACCCGTCTTATTCCAGGGGGTGTTGCCCGCAAGAGCCCGTTCGTTTATTCGGGCCGGTCACGCGCGGGACCGGGGAGGGAGGGGGGTTCGTCGCGCTGGTTACGCCACGGCGGGGATGCGCCTGTGGTGCCGCAACATGCCCGTAAACACCGCAATGCGCCTGCGAAAAACAATCGCCTGCGACCCGACAATCACGACGTGCCTGTAATCAGCGCAACAAAAGCTTGCGATCCGATCAACACGACGTGCCTGTGAACACCACAGTGCTCTGGAAGAGTACAGCGTCCGTGAACACCACAGCGCCTGTGAACATCAAAGCGCCTGTGAACACAACGCCTGCGAACACCACAGCACCTGTAAATACCCCATCGCCTGTGCACACTACACAGCCGGAAAACACAACAGCGCTGGTGAACACCACAACGCCTGTGAACACAGCGCGGGCGAGCACCGCAGAGCCTGGGGTCCAGCGGCAGTGCGCATGCACCAGCAGTAGCGGTAGCATTAGCAGTAGCACTAGCCGTAGTCGTAGTAGAAGTAGTAGTAGAAGTAGTAGTAGCAGCAGCAGCAGTAGTAGCAGCAGTAGTAGTAGTAGCAGAAGTAGTAGTAATAAGAAGAAACAGAAGTAATAATAGCGGCACTGATAATAATAGTTGTAGTACTAGTAGTGATAATGATAGTAGTTGTTGACTACTAGTAGTAGTAGTAGTAATGTTACTAGTAGTTAGTAGTAGTAGTAGTAGTAGTAGTAGAAATTGTAGTTGTAGTGGTAGTAGTAGTGGCAGTAGTAGTGTAGTAGTAGTCGTAGTCGTAGTCGTAGTAGTAGTAGTAGTAGTAGTAGTAGTAGTAGTAGTAGTAGTAGTAGTAGTAGTAGTAGTAGTAGTAGTAGTAATAGTAGTAGTAGTAGTAGTAGTAGTGCTGGTAGTAGTAGTAGTAGCAGCAGTGGTAGTAACAGTAGTAGTAGTAGTAGTAGTAGTAGTAGTAGTAGTAGTGGTAGTACTGAAGTAGTAGTAGTAGTAGTAGTAACAATAATACTAGTAATAGCGGTAGTAGTAGTAGTAGTTGTAGAACTAGTAGTACTAGTAATACTAATAGAAGTATTTGACATAGTAGTAGTACTAGTAGTAGTAGTGGTCGTAGTAAGACTAGTACTAGAAGTAGTAGTAATAATGATATTAGTTGTTGTTGTAATAGCCGTAGTAGTAGTAGTATTAGTGATAGTAGTAGTAATAGTAGTAGTAGTAGTAGTAGTAGTAGAAGTAGTAGTAGTAGTATGTAGTAGTAATAGTAATAGTAATAGTAGTAGTAGTAGTAATAGTAGTAGTAGTAGTACGTAGTGATAGTACGTAGTAGTAGTACGTAGTAGTAGTACGTAGTAGTAGTACGTAGTAGTAGTAGTCGTAGTAGTAGTAGTAGTAGTAATCGTAGTCGTAGTCGTAGTCGTAGTCGTAATAATTGTTGTAGTCGTCGTCGTGTTCGTCGTCATTGGAATTGTCGTTGTCGTCCTCAGCGTCGGAGTCGCCGTCTGAATCGTCGTCGTCGACAGTGTCGTCGTCGTCAGCGTAGTCGTGATCGTCGTCATCGGAATCGTCGTCGTGCTCCTCCTCCTCCTCCTCCTCCCCCTCCTCCTCGTCCTCCTTTGTCCTTGCCCTGGACACGGCCCACCCGCAGTGCCTGCGCACGCCACAGCGACCATTTACACCGAAACGTTTGTATTTTACACAACGCCCCTGAGAGCACCACGCGGCACGCACGCAAGCGCCGCTTTCCCTCGCGAGTGCCACGGCGTCCCTGTGAGCACAACATCATGCCTCTGAACACCACAGAAGCCTGCGAGCGCCACGGGACGTCCGCGGTCGCCACCGGACGACCGCCGCGACGTGACTACAGGGGGGGCGGGGGGAGCGGGGCCGGTCACGCGCGTGATCGCATGGAGCTTCTCCGAACGGGCTCCAGTAAGCAGGAATACCTTCAAGCACCTGCGAAGGGGTTTCGGAGCATTGCAGCATTTTTGACGCGTCATGGGTTTACACTGGTCCCACCTCGTCCTCCTGTCGCCCTCCTCCTCCATCCTACTCCTCCCACCTCCCTCCACAGATCCCCTTCATCCTGCGCAAACTCGTTGGATCGGCAGCCACTTGGACCAAAGCAGCGGTAGAAGCGAACGGCGGGAGGTATCCGTGGCGATCTGAAGCACGGAGGGGCGGGCGAGGCCAGAAGTGGGAGGGAGGGGTGCCGCGGGCGGCGGAGCAAGCTGAAACGTGTGTCGTCGTCGCCGTGGTCGTCGTCGTCATCGTCGTCGTCAGGCTTCCGGGCAGCCAACCAAGAAGCGGCGAAGGCACACCAGGGACGACCGGAACAGGGAGCGGCAGGTGCATGGGAACCGAGTAGCGCGACGCCAAGGCAGAGCGACGCACGCAAGTCACGCGAAGGACAGCACAGAGAGCAAGGAGCCAACATGGAGGACCAGGTGGCGGTGTATGCGCACGGCGCTGAAGACCAGGGAGGCATACCACGACACAAAATGAGCGTGACCGCCAAGCGGGCGGAGTCTTCTAGGACGTGGTTTCCTCTGTCAACGCGTAAAGGCTTGCAATACGAATAGCCATGATACCCACTCCGTTCCACCGCCTGGACGGCGAGGGGGAGGATCAGTGCGCCGAAGGACGTAGATCGCCCTCCCACTATGCCTCCACACGTCGAGGGTCGCCGTCTTCGTCGCCGTCGTCGTCGTCGTTGTCGTTGTTGTTGTTGTCGTCGTTCGCGTCGTTAGCGGTGTCGTCGTTACCGTCGCGGCTGGGCGGCTACGCGCCGTGGTCGCCACGGACACCGCCCGCACCGACGACACGGCGGGCTGCAGCGCCTCGAGCGCGGTCCTGCCGACGGCCGCAGGCGGCGGCGGCGGCGACGGCGGCGGCGACCCTGGCACGACGACGCACACGAGAACGAGAACGAAAACAAGGACAACGACGACCTCTCGCCTCCTGTTCCTCCTCCTCCTCGCTCCTCGCTCCTCCTCCTCCTCCTCCTCCACCTCCTCCTCCTCCTCCCCCTCCTCCTCCTCTTCCTCCTCCTCCTTCTCCTCACTGGCTTCAGCCTCCACCTCCTCCTCCTCCTCCTCCTCATCCTCCTTTCCTTTTCCTCCTCCTCCTCCTCCTCCTCCTCATCATCCTCCTCCTCCTCCTCTTCCTCTTCCTCTTCCTCCTCCCCCCCTCCTCCTCCGCCTCCTCCTCCTCTCCTCCTCCTCCTCCTCCTCCTCTTTCCTCCTCCTCCTCTTCGTCCTCCTCCTCCTCCTCCTCCCTCGTCCCCTTCCTCCCTCCACCTCCTCCACCTCCTCCTCCTCCCTCGCTCCCCTTCCTCCTCCTCCACTTCCTCCTCCTCCTCCTCCTCCTCCTCCTCCTCCTCCTCCTCTTCCTCCTCCTCGTTTTCCTCCTCGTTTTCCTCCTCCTCCTCCTCCTCCTCCTCCTCCTCCTCTTCCTCCTCCTCCTCCTCCCCCTCCTCCTCGTCATCATCCCCCTCCCTCTCCTCCTCCTCGTCAATGTTATCCTTGTTGTCTTCCGCCTGCTGATGCTGCTGCTCCTCCGGAGCGGACGGAGGGAGGGACGGGAAGAAAAAGGGGAGAAAGAGGAGGACGACGACGAGGAGGAAGAGCAGGAGGAGGACGTGGACCCCCCCAAAAAAAATGCAATCCATACGGTGCGTTCCAAGGGGTGCAGCCAATGTGGCGCGATCTAGGTGGTGCTATCGATTTAAACAAACGAGATGGCACATCCCATGGTCTTACAAACATCCCACCCACCCACCCACAACTTGGTTTGCAAAACCCGCGTGGTGGCGATTGCGATGAATGCTTAGCGTTGGCAAGTCCATCTCTACGGCCGCGCGCGTGCAGCGGCCAGCTAGCTGGGCGCGACCGACGCGGCCGCGGTGGCGCTGACAGCTGAACACATCCCAACTGGCATATCAATGCGAGTCGGCGACGTGGGCGGGCGCGGTATCATGACAACGTCGACAACGGTAGACACGATGCTGGTAGTAGCGATGTTGGTGACGATGTTGACAACGACGACGGCGCGGCCAATGCGGACGCCGATGCTGATCACGCCGACGATGATGACGGCGTTCTCGCGTCGGTGATGAAGATGTTGGGAAGAGTCCGACATGCGCGCGCGGCCGACGCGTGAGTGGCCCGCATGGTACCCTTCGACACGGATCGTGCCCCCCCCCAGGACGCGCGCAAGGGCGCGCGAATGATGTCGGCATGCGGCGCCAGGGGCCCGCTTGGCAGAATTCCATGAAAATGTTGAGAAATCGACGGTTTCCTTGAGAACTCGCAAGAGCGCGAGCGCACGTTTTTTTTTTTTTTTAACTGATGTATGTTGATTGGACACTCGGTTTTGAAAGCGCGACGGATTTCGGCATGCGCGCGCAACGACGCGCGCGTGCGCACTCCGTCCCATGGTTTGTTGGGTTTGACCTATATATCTATATATATATATATATAATATATATATTTATATTTATAACAAAAATAAATTTAAAAAAAAAAAAAAAAAAAAAAAAAAAAAAAAAAAAAAAAAAAAAAAAAAAAAAAAAAAAAAAAAAAAAAAAAAAAAAAAAAAAAAAAAAAAAACGCGACGATACGCGCGCAAGGGCGTTCGAACGATTTTGACATGCGCACGCGCGAAGCCAGTTTGGTAGCATGTTATGATGAGTTGTCTTAAGAATTCGCAAGAGCGCGCGCAAGCTTTTTGTTGAAAAAACACGTTGCGAAACCATGTGTTTTTACATGTTTCTTGAAATTCGTGTTTGGAACCCCTGACGAAACTGAAAGTTTTAAGGATTTCGACACGCGCGCGCGACAACGCGCGAGTGCACATGGCGTCCCGTTCTTTGCAAGGGACGCTTGGAAATTGATGATATGTGATAGGCGGGTGCGCGCGCATTTCAATTTGTTGCAGAGGATGGCGGGGGAGGCGGATGCCGACTCGGCTGGGATGGTACGGGTTCAAATTTAAGATGAACGATGAGGCAGAATCACACGCACGTTGCAATACAAAAAAGGAGGTCGAGAATCCTGGGGGTGGGGGGTAGAGGCTATTGCCTTTTCTCTTTTTAAAAAGGAGAATCCATATGATGCAATCTATGTGGGGCAAAACTTCCTTACAGAACTTGAAGTTGTCAACTCCTCTGCTCGCACAATCATCCCACCCCCCATCTGCATTTTAGTGTGCAAAACCAATACCCTGGCGATTGCGATGGTTGCTTGGCATTTGCTGGCGCATCTCAACGGCCGCGATTGCGCGCGCAAGCTCGCGCGTAGAGCGGCCAGCTAGTTTGGCTAGTTTGGCACAACAGGCGCGGCCACGGTGGCGCTGACCGACGGAACCTTCGCACCGCGCCTCACGGGCCGCGCTGGCGCGCGGGCATTTCAGTGAGGGTTGGTGACTCGGGCGGGCGACGTGTCAGTATGACGTAGCGATGACGGTGACTGTAGCGCTGATGGTGACGATGACGACGATGATGAAGATAAGATGACGACGGCAGAACCAAAGACGGCGCCGATGTTGTTCACGCCGATGACGACGACGATGTCCATGTTTCGCTGACGAAGGTTTTGGACAGATGCTGGCATGCGCGCGCTGCGCACGCGCGAGTGGCCCGCACGGTACTATCTGACAGAGATCCTGACCCCAGCAAGCGCGCAACGGCATTCGAATGATTTCGACGCGCGCGTGCGATAGGTCCGCATGGTCTCGTTTGACGAAAATGTTTGAAAAAAAACTACGCTTTTCATAGTAACTCGTAAGAGAGCGCGCGCGCAGATTTGTTTGAAAAATCCGTCGCCATCGCCGTCGCTGCCGCCTTCGCGTCGCCGCCGCCATCACGCCTCCTCCTTCCCCTGATTCCGTCGCCGTTGCTCCCCTTCCCTTTTGGCCCTCGTCCCCAAGCACGCCACCCACAGCGAAATACACCAGCCCGTCCACATCGAAATTAACCCACGTTGTCATTGAGTCGAAAGGAAACCCCTTCCCTTTGATCCCTTCCCCGCGGAAAGGGGGGGGGGATCCCGGGGGGGTGGTCCTGGGGGGGGTGGTCCTAGGTCAGAATACCACCCTCCCAGGGCCCATGGCCAGCCTTTTCCCTCCCATTTCCGTCGAGGGCCGAGGCTTCCAGGGTCGGCGGCACCGGCCGCAAGGCCTTAGCAATGAAGTTGACACCCAAGGGTTTTGTTGCAGGTTTTCGTAGACCTCGATCTGGAACTCTCCTTTCGCAGTCCACACGCGCGCGACGTCGCGCGCGCGTGGACTGCGAAACATGTTCCGTATGGTGTGATTGGAAGTCCCACCAGCCCTCTCGGCGTAGGTGGTTCAATGAGTTTTGTATGCTCTCTGCCGAAATCCGTCGTTCCCCTAATTACTCGAGGGAGGGGGTCATTACTGTTTTCTATTGATAAGCACCCCCTCCCGCAGGCGACCGGCAGCCAACCAGGAACAATGCCGACCACCATGATCACACATCCCCATCATCCCTGACAGAAAACGATACAAACAGACACAAATTCTGCCTCCAAATTTGGATCATGCGCGGCCGCCCCGACGCGGCCCCCCCACCATCCCTCTCAAAAAACACTACACGAAACACTTTCGGGCAAAGTCTTGGGTCATGTTCGAAAGCCCCGCGAGCACTTTGCATTGTTTTTTGACTGGAACGGCGGGGGTGCCAGCATGCTGCCTGCTGTGCGCAGGGCCACCAGCACTTCCAAAAAACAATACACAATGCACTTCGCGGCTGAATCTGGATCTTGCGCGGCCACCCCGCGATCATTGTCAAGCGGTTTTGGACAGGGACTGCAGGGGTGCTGGCATATGGACTGCTGTGTGCAGGCCCACCAGACACCATGATGGGCGTGGGTTTTCGACAAGGCTGCTGGGGGGGCGACATGTTCCCCGATGTGTGCTGTCACGTGTGCAGGCGCAAATGACACACTCTGCACATGCCCCGAACGTGGCGCACCTGGCGCGACTGCAACATTCGGCACACTTGGCGCACGTGGATCACGTGGCGCATCTGGCACACCAGGCGTGCCTGGCACGCTCGGGCCCCAGTCGCGCGCCGGGCACGCGTGGCGCACCTCGCCCCAGCGTCGCGCACATGGGGTCGGCTTTGGTGGCCCAAGATAGCCCAACATGGTTCCATATAGCTTCCGACATGCCTCCAAGACGCCCCAAGATGGCCCCGAGATGGTTTCAAGTGCCCCCCGAGCGCTTCAAGGATCAAAGAGGCCAGAATGACCCCAAAACCTGAAGAGAAGTGATGCGTGTTGCCTTCTCGCCCGATCGCTTCCGATGGGCCTCGGAGGCCCTAAAGTGGCCCGAAAATTGCACCCGAGAGGGTTCCAACACGGCCCCAAGAGCGCTCCAAGAACGGTTGCAGAAGGCCTCAAAACGACATGCGTGAGCCTCCGATGGGGGTCCTGAATCCGTTACCACTCTCTGTTTGAGCCTGGGGGGCCAAGATGGTTCCACGAGGCCTCCTCCCCAAAGAGCCCCAAGAGGGCCTCTGGACCCGCACAAGAGCCCCAAGAGGCCCCAAGAGTGCCCCAATTGACTCCGCGGGGACTCCAAGAGAGACCCAAGATGGCTCCAAGTGGCCTCCGAGAAAACACTTCCAATGCGGCTGTTGCACTGCATGTTTCTACCCTTCCCTGGTCTAGGCAACTCACCTGGCGATATGTTTCTGAATGGGCTGGTGGGAATATTTTTTTTCATCGCGGCCGCGGCGAACGAAGTCGGGTGGCGTCCAGGAGCGTAGCACACGGGCCCTAAATTCGCGCACAGGGGGAAGGAGGGGCGAAAAGAGACAAGAGAAAGCG